CTCTCTCTCTCTCTCACACACACACACACACACACACACACACTTTCCCATGCTTAAAAACTCACTGGAATTTATTAACAGTAGAGAAAATAGAGGAAAAGGCAAGTGAGTTTATTGGGCAGATAAATTATCTTTTCTATGAAGCAGGGCTAGTATGGTGGGGATCTTTTAGTATGAGAAAACTACAGACACACAAGATATATCTGTTGTACAACCACGGATTGTTTAAGTGTAAAGACAGAAAAAATTCTGTCTCTCTAAATACTAAACACAGATTGCAGTCCATGAAAGAAGATATGAAGTAAATCTGGAGCCTTTAAGGTTCCACAAAGCTATGTTGTATTTGCTGCTACAGAAGAATGCACCTACAACTCTGGAAGAAGATACCAGGTGAAATTTATTAACAGCATGTCCCATCTTCCACCCACCCACCCCCCAAAAAAGACTCTGGTATTTCTTCACACTGCAGGCTCTCCTTTATGGCTGGATTTCAAACTGAGATTGGATGACCATCTCTCATTGACACCTTAGCTGTAGATTTCTTGTATCAACAGGGAGTTGCACTAGATGTTATTTGGGTCCCTTCCAACTCTATTGTTCTATGACTCTGTGAATAATTAATTCACAGACTGTTGCTGTAGAACATTTGATGGGCCTAAATCCAACTGCTAGTCCTGACTAGAATAGACTCAATGCAATTTGCATAAGTGTTGACTTAGAATTCAACCATTGAGTTTCTGGATCTACTCCAGTTGGATTTAGATCACTAACCTGTTTAGAAGGATCAGAAAAATTCATGGAGAATACGCCTGTTATTGGCTGTTTGCTAGAAGAACTAGAAATTACTTCTTGTACAAAAGAAGCAGAATGGTTATTATTGTTGTTTCAACTTATGTACCACCCCATCCATTGTGGTAAAATACCCTCTGGGGGGTTTACAACATAATTATGCAAGGAACACTTTGTCTCACAGCAAGCTGGGTTCACATTTTGTCAGCCTTGGAAAGGTGGAAAGTGGAGTCAACTATAAACTGGCTACCTGAATGCACTGGGATCGAAGCCAGGTTATGAGCAGAGACCTGACTGCACTACTGCAGTGTAGCCACTGCAACCGTCAATATACCCTTATTTTGAGTTTCCTTTTCTAATTACCAGATACTTAAGACAAAGACAGGAGTGGGCTATCATCCACATACCTCTGGTTGGAGTTTCCATATGATCCTTGAAAGACCATTGATGGACACATAATGCTGGGTTAAATTGAATTTTTAGATCTGGCCCAGCATAGAAATGCTGATATTCATACATGCAACAGGTGGAACGAGGAAAGGCTACTTGCCTATCTCCTTGTTTACTTTAAAAGTTAGGTGCACTATTTCCTAATAAATATTCACTTGGAATCTCAATATATTGACACGGGCACAATATTTCACTAGTGTCTCCTTTCTGTGCAATGTATGAGGATAAATTGAGCTTCTGGGAGGGAGGATTGAATGCAAGGATGGGCAACAGCAAAAGCCATAAGATTGCGTACATAAGGTCTATATGCTGCTTATGCATATAGTAGCTTATCAATAGCTTTCTGGCATGATTAAGCACATAGCTATCTGCTCTTCATCTGACCTACTTCCCATAGCATTCTAGTTTCTTTTCACCAGTCTTGGTATCACTTATTGTCTTCAGTGGATTTTTCTTCCTAATTGCAGAAGAGGAAGACAGCGTGCTTGAGTTCTGAAATGCTTTAGCAGACACGTTTTACTTTATTTACCTTCCAGGAACTGAAGCTTTTTATTCTCACACCAACTCTGTGAGTTAGGCAAAGGAGTAGCCTCCGCAGCTAAGCAAGATCTGAACTCAGGTTTTTCCCAGCAAGCCCTTTATGCTATCTGTTTGGTAAACTAAGCTGGCTCTTGCGTCACGGAGCAAATTGATCTTTGAAATGTGTGTTGGCAGAAAAGTGCAGTGAGAATCCTTGTTTGCCCTCCTACCTCAAGCAACCTTCTATAGGAATGTAGTACAGTCAACCCTCGACTTACAAACGGCTCGAGTTACAAACATTTCGACTTACAAACCACTCATAGAAAAATATTGACTCGACTTGCACACTTAGATTCGAGTTACAAACCCAAAAAAAACGTGTTTGAGGTGGGGAAAGCATGAAGTTTGAACTTTCAGTTAACCGTTGGCCAGTGAAGAGGGTGCTTATCTACTTCCTCGCTCTTCCCAGCGTTTTGAGAGTGGATTTGGAGACAGTTTTCAGACTGCCTGGTACTGCTGGTATTGCCTGGTACAGTGCGGTACGGACTGTATTTTTATTTTTTGGCGCTTTTTTAATTTTTGATTTTTGGATTTTTAAAAGGTGTTCCCTCCCTCCTTTGCTGCCCCCCTTTCCCCAAAAGGTGCTTGTATTGGCTTGTCTTGATTTAAAAGGTGCTTTTCAAGGTGATCTGTTGTCTGAAAGGTGCTTGGTTTTTTCCAGAAGGTACTTGTCTTGGCTGAAAATGTGCTTTTCAGGGTGTTCTGTTGAAAAGGTGTCTGTTCCCTCCTTCTCTCCCTCATTTCTTTCCTTTTTTTTTTAACCTAAGTCATCTTACATTAAAAGGAAAAAAAGAAAGAAATTCTGCCCCTAGTGGTAGGAACGGATTAACCGGCTTTGCCTTAGTTCCTATGGGAAATGCCCCTCAACCTAAGAACCAAAAACAGCCAGAACAGATTAATTGGTTTTCAGTGCATTCCTATGGGAAATGCTGATTCGACTTACAAAGTTTTCGACTTACAAACTGCCTTCCAATACGGATTAAGTTTGTAAGTCGAGACCCCACTGTATTTCAGTGTAAATTCCATCATATATGGACATGCCAACATGGAAATAAGAAGCAATAGTGGTGTTTTTTTTAAAAAGGTGAGGGCCTTTATTTAAATCAGCCACTGATTTACTATATGCTATTTCACATTTAAAAGGTTAGGAACACCCACTCTAGTGAACGTGAATGTGGCTAGGGGGTGAGGTAGGGTGAGATCTGCCATCATAAGGCATAAAATTTTGTTGCTCATTAAAATGGCTTCTGTGATCTTAATATGTTCAAAGATAAGTCTTAATGAGGTATTCAGAAAAGAGTTAGCCTGTACTCAAGAGGAGGGAGAAAGCTGTAGGTCTACTCCCATCCATGGGTGTCATCTACACAGAAAGGGGACACCCTGCTGCACAGGGATACTCCCCACAGTCTTGGGAACCCTGGTTTTTCAGGATCCCCTGTCCCATGGAGAGGCTCTGAGGATAGTGGAGGCTCCATGGGGACAGCCACTGGTGGGATCGGGTGGGGGGCTTGAACTCCCTGCTCACTCATTCAGATGAACCCTTTTCTGAACACCTAAAAAAGACTGTGGCCTCCATGGTTTTCTCAACAAGCTCCTTAAGTATGCTAAAATTCAGACCAGTCCTATACAAATGATCACTGTTTGCAACAACTGATGACAAAGTTGGATCATCTAAATAATTTCATTTTGAAGCTAAAATATGGTCAGTACTCCAGGGCTTCCGTATGTTTTCTGAGATACAAAGGGAATCTCCTGCATAATGCATCCAATACTTCTTTTCCTTATGTAATGTGCCCTCATAAGGTCATCATTATACATGCTGATGTTATTGCAAGCGGAGAGAGGTGTGCAGTTCTGACCTGCCATCTTTTTGGTCTTTTTTTTTCCTCCTGTCATAGTTCCTCTCACATTCCACCCCAGAATTTTGTTCTCCAAAATTGATTCCCAGAACATCTTAGAGCAATTGTTGAAGGCCAAAAAGGGTCCTGCAGGCATCTTTGTTTAGTCTGGAGCTTGCCTATCAAACTATCAACAAACAGTTCCATTTCTATGATTTTGTTGAGCTTGGGACAACATGAGATGGCCTTAATGCTGGTCTCAAATGAACAAATTTTTGAACATTGAATTGATACAGATTGTTCACAGAAGAATTTAAATCAGACTGGAAAAAAAAAACTGAGGAAAGTTTGTACGCAATGAGCGTTTTTACTCTTTGCCTTTGAATAGATACTCTTTTGAAATCTAAAGATCAAAAAAGTAATTTTCATTGATCTTCCATGAGTAGTTGCCAAGAGGCATTTTTTACTTTTCAGAACTCACTAGAAAAAGTAGTTAGTTACCAGAGCAACCCTAAGCATGTCTATTCAGAAATAAGCCTCCAAGTCAAATGAGGCTGCCTCCCTTGTAAAACACTGCAAGCTTAGAAGCCAAATAGTAAATATCAGGTTGGGAGGATATTTTAAAAAATTAGGAAAAAAATTCTCTCTCTCTCTCTCTCTCTCTCTCTCTCTCTCTTTCTTGAACTGACTCAAATCCATTGATTTAAAAAGTTGAGACAATCTTGTCTTTGGGTGTTCGTTGTGTTCTTATACCTAAATATAGTGAGTACTTGCTTAGATACATTATACATTTAATTATACAAATCAGTATAACACGTCATCGCTACATAGTTTGTGATATTTAACATATAAATAGTATTGTAGGCTGTAAGAATTCAGTATAACAAACAATTCGACAAGACAGCTGGTTAAAATAGGAGTCCAATAGATCATGTGAATTAGAAAGACCTTTTGAAGTGGGAAAGTATTCAAAACATGTATGTAAATTATACATGAAGGGGGCATGCTGAGTCTGCTTTGGGAATGAATTCACAATCATGGAGTCACCACTGAGAAGCCCCCCCCCCCTTTCCCCTCTTCTTCTTCAGTATGGAAAGAAGAAGCTGAAATATTTCCCATACAACCGTCAACATGAATACTTCTTCTTAGGTGAGTAACCTCATCTTGTTTTGTTCCCTACCTGTATGGAAGACAGGAACAAGTTTATAGTTCCTCCCTGCCTAAATGGCTTTTTAAAATTTTCTAAGAAGCCCTGTCTTTGTATGAATTAAGTTTTTCCTTTCTGGGTATCTTATGAACAGCATTAGTAGAGGAGTGTCCCTGTCAGTCACTGGTGAATTTTCCGTAACATTGCATGTTTTAAAACTCCCCAGGTCCCGTCTGAATGTTGATGTGCATTTCCCTCTTGATTCCTTTATACAGTATTTCAGAATTCCATGACATTATTTCATTTTTATTCCAACCATTATCTAAGAAACTCAGGATAGCATACATGGCTCTCTTTTTCTTAGTTTATATTCACTACTACTCTGTTAGGTATGGTAGGCTGAGATATAATGCCTGGCCAAAAGTCATCAAGGCCAAAAAAAGGGGTTTGAATCTGGATTTGCTGAGACATATTCCAGCACACTTAAAAAACCAAAACAGTAAATATAAGCCATATTTCTCTGTAGAATTGTCCAGTGGTAAAATACTGTAAATCCTTAATATCTTGGGTTGCTGGGCAGAAAACAGATCAAAACAAAATCTCTTGGTTTCTCCCCCCCTCCCTCTCCCCCCCATGAGTGGGCCTATCACTTTAGAAGACCTTACTGTATTTTTCTTTTCAAGCCCCAGGCCACCATTTTATGCTTCATATTCACCTTCCTCCTCTAACGCTTCTGGTTTTCCTTTCAGTTTTCCCACCTCTCCTCATTCCAGTTTACTTCCATTTGCAAATCTTCACGACCATGTTCAGACACAAGTTCTGGGTGGTAAGTGAACGATTCCTCCATGTCCTGCATTGCTTTCATTAAATCCCATTTCATTGGCAATCAGCATTCTCCAGCAAGATCTTATGGAGAGGGAGGAGGGGGTGAAGAGGCATCCCTCTGCACTCTGTGTAGAAGTGGGCGCTGGCAAGAAGGATGAAGGGGGCATATTATCTGCAATGTATAATTTCCCTTCTCTTCCTAGGACTTGGCCTGGGCTTTCAGTTACTACATACGCTACCTTATAACATACGCTCCATTTTACGGACTTTTTGGATCGATGTGCCTCCTCACCTTTGTCAGGTAGGAGCGACAAATGGCTTCTCTCTCTCTTTCTCTCTCTTTCTCTGAATCCATTTTTTCCACACTGTAAGATTGTTCAGACAGAACTTTTATTTGATCTTCATTATCAGAGTGCAGAGTTCCATTTTGCTGGCAATTATGGGCCTTATTCTATTAATATCTCCAAATAAAGAGGTTCTGTCATTACATGTTTGTGTTTTCATTTCAATACAGGTTTGTGGAAAGTCACTGGTTTGTTTGGGTCACACAGATGAATCATATTCCAATGGAAATTGACAATGAGAAGCATAGAGACTGGCTCAGTGGTCAGGTAAACTTGCCTAGTCAAAGTTACTCAAACCCGTCATATAATCTTGAGTTTCTCAGTTCTTATATATACATATTCAAGGGCAGGTGCTATTAAACCAGGTGGGATTTCAAATAAACATGATTGGCAGTGCATCGTATGGTACCTAATATTAATATTATGTGCCATCAGGTCAATTCTGACTTACAGTGACCCTTTCCAGGCTTTTCTAGGTATAAGAGTATTCAGAAATAGTTTATTGTTCCCTTTTTCTGGGGGCAGTCTGGGATTTTGCAGCTTGACCAAGGCTACAGTACATAGGCTGGCTTTTCTTATGGGAAACACAGTTGGGAAATAAAATCCTGCCCCCCCTTGGTGTGCAGCTTCTCTAATGGACCAAGGCACATACGTATAACATGCCAAACCAGAGCGGAACATAACTGTAAATCATCGAATTGTGAATGATGCCACCTACATCATCTGATGCCATCTACACGCATATATATCAAGTGATTCTTGGGTTTACATATTAGACCCACCTCTAATACTACATGTACTCCAGATCCCTCGGAGACTTCCTGAGATGCTCTAGAGTGGCCCTGGGGACAGTGTTTGTTGTGTGGGCAACTTATATGATTCTGTCTCATTGAAATAAATTTGGATGTATAGATGTTCCAGCACACATCTGAAAAGCCCTCTTTGGGCTACAGCAGTGGTCTCCAACCTTTTTGGGACCGCAGACCGGTTGGGGGTGGGTTCTGTGCACGGGGGTCAGGGGCAAGCCCCCCCATGAGTGTAGCATCACCCTATGTGAGTGCGATATGCCCACCGTGCAGGTGGCGCAGACCGGTTGGGGGTGGGTTCTGTGCATGGGGGGCAGGGGCAAGCCCCCCCCCCATGAGTGTAGCATCACACTATGTGAGTGCGACATGCCCACCGTGCAGGTGGGCGGGGGGCAGAGATCCGTCTCCACGGCCCAGTTCCGGCAAGCCCAGTGACCATCACCGGGCTGTGGACTGGGGGTTGGAGACTCCTGGGCTACAGTATTCAATCTATGTACCTGAAAATAAACTTTATTGAATTTAGCGGAACATGCTTTTGAGTTAGCAGGTATAAGTCTGCAGTGTTTGAGTAATGAATGGCAGAGGATAGTTGTACACAAGTGGCTAACTTCACAAGAGCACCGTTTATTAATTTCACTTTACCTCTTTCCATGTTTTTGCATTTTGAAGGTCACCATTTTGTCTCCTTGTCTTTTGCAGTTGGCAGCTACCTGCAATGTCGAACCGTCTTTTTTCAATGACTGGTTCAGTGGTCACTTGAATTTTCAAATAGAGCACCAGTAAGTATGCCATATTTGTACCCTAGAATCACAGAATTGCAAGAACGAACCCAGAAAGGTCTTCGCTTCCTATTTTTGCCAGTGGATGAATCCACTGTTAAAGCATTCTTGATAGATGACCACCCAAATTCTGTTTGAAAATCTCCAACATAGGACAGGCCATCGTCTACTAAGGTGGTTTGTCTCAGTGCTAAACAGCTCTTATTGTGAATAGGTTCTCCTTAAAGTTTAACTTGAAATCTTGAAAGTTTAACTTAAATCAGAAGTTTTGCCAGTAAGAGTAAATATATAAGATGGGATAATAATCCTTTAGGGAGTATCATCATCATCATCCATCCCATCAAGTAGATTCTGACATACGGCAACCCTTCCCAGGCTTGTCCAGGCATAGAGAACTAAGAAATGTTTTACTGTTCCCTCCCTTCTGTTGGCTGCAGACCATACAGCCTGCACAAACTATCTAGGCTAGCTCTTCTCCAGGAAAATACAGTAAAGATTTGGACTCCTGACTCCTGGCTCTGCAGCCAGGTGCTCCCACTCACTGAGCTATTAGGGAAAGGGGGTGAAATCTTGTTGTTATTTCTATCCCACCTTCCCACAATAGGTATTCTAGGTTGTGCTACATCAAAATAACAGTAAAAAAATCGCACATATATAGTATCAGCATTTGCCATAAAACACAGAAAATTGCCCGGCCATGACCCCCTCTGGCTCCTTCTTCACTACCACCACTAGCAGCAGCAGGACGAAGAAGCGGAGAAGGGAGGGAGTGCCAGCGACTGCCTAGCTGGGAGGGGGAGGAGGGAACAACATAAAATTAAAAAAAACCCTCACAGAATTCACCTTGCCAAAGGAGAAAAGCCCACAATGAAACCCGCAAAATTAAACAGAACAGGTGAATGTGTGCATGCGCATAAACACAAACACACACATACACACACTATACAGTAACAGTAAAAAACCGCACATATATAGTATTAGCGTTTGCCGTAAAACACAGAAAATAGTAGTGTAGTAGAGTAGTATAGCAATGAATGATTTCTGCTGTTATTTCAATATGGGATGGTCTGCTCTGAGAAACAGGGTTAGATATCCTCTATATTCCTGTGTAAGAGGAGGAGGAGGAGGAAGCACTGCTGGGTGCTGAGGCGGCCGCTGGCCAGGCTGGCGCTGGGGGTGCCGAGGGAGAAAGAGAGCCAGAGAGCCGCTTCCCTGAAAGAGGCAGTGGCAGCTGCTGCTGGTGGCTTGGAGGTGCTCTTCAAGGACGGACCAGGAGCGAGCTCCGCTCTCAGGCAATGCACGGCGGCAGCTCAGGCACTCGGGGAAAAGGGCCGACAGTGCGTCTTGCTTGCCAGCTCCTCCCCAAGACAGCGCCTCCTGCACCCACCTTGGCAGACAGACGGTGAGGCTGGCAGGCTGCAGTTCTGGATGGAGAGTGCAAGAGGCGCTCTCTTGGGAGAGAGCCGGCGAACAAGGTGAGGATTTTTTTTTGGCTCTTGACAGCAGAGGACAAGGGGGCTTTTTTTGACTCTTGACAGCAGAGGACACGTGGGCTTTTTGGGGAGCAGGTAAGGCGGGGGCCACAAACTATCATCCGGCGGGCCGCAAATGGCCCCCGGGGCGCATGTTTGAGACCCTTGCTTTAGACTAAAAATTGAGGGTTGTCTTATACACGGAAGTAAGCTGAGGAGGAAAAACCCAAGTGGAGTGGAAAGCAGGGATGAAAGAGATCCTGCTTGCTTTGATCCCTGCTTCCCCGTCCACTTGCTAAGCCCCACTTAGATTTCTTAATTTTGGTTTAGAAAATTAAGTCTTATACATGGGGGTGTCTTATACACAGAAAAATACGGTACCTATTCCCTAGTCCTGCACCAGGATAGGAAAATATGGACTGCTCAGCTTCAAGCTAAGGTAGAGGGATGATTTTTTTTTATGGTTCCCCTTGGAAAACTCCAGTAAAACTCCAGTAGTTTATACGGATTCTCGCCTCTCCTGCTACTTTCAATTTTAGGCTTTGTTGAGGGGGGGAACCCCTTTTTGGAAAAGTAGATTTTTAAAGCAGAATAGCATTCAGATAAACAGTGTGTTTTTTTGTTTTGCTTTTTACTGCTGGACGAGAACATGGAGCTTTAATGGCCTTAATCTATTTATTGTTTTAATTGTGTCTGTAAGCTGCCCTGCTTATCTGTATAGATAAAGGGTAGTTGAGAATGGTCATAAAGTTGTAATGAAGTAAATAAAAGAGAGAGAAAAAACAGTTTGCCTTCTGAAGTTATATACTTTGATTTACCATCTCAGGTCCCTGCTTCTTCATCATGCTGCTGGTGTGAAGCATACTTCGGCCATTTGAACAGAAGAGAGAGGGACTGCAGTTAACAGAGGGTGGGTGTAGTTGCTGCCGCTAGGCCCTTCTCACATTTTCTCCCCTCTGCTTTTGTTTAAGCTTGTTTCCCACAATGCCACGCCACAACTACTACAAGATAGCTCCATTGGTGAAGTCGCTGTGTGCGAAGTACCAAGTCCCTTACGAGGAAAAGCCTCTTCTGAAAGCCTTCTCAGATATTGTGGGGTAAGAAAGCTTCATTGGGATTTCCACGCCATTCATCTGATGTTACTCAAGAGAAGACAGTAAGGCATCAATAAGATTTGCAAAGCCCAGTACAACCCACCAAATATCTCCTTCCTAAACCTCAGAAAATGGTCCCCTACCCACAGAAGAACGATGCAGGAAATTGGCAGCACACCCTCCCCCAGGACAGAATTGGGAATCCTCTATCTGAGATGGATAACTGGGATGGTGCAGACATCAGCCAGAGTGTGCCCTTCACTGCTTGCAATACGGGCAATGCATCCATATGTGCCAATGGCATCTTAACTCCCCCTCCCCACCCATTTCTTTGTGGATGAAATGTAAAATGAATTGGACATGTGCATGCAGAAAGGAAAGGATGGAAACTATGGTGTGTGTATGATGGGGCAGCATGTGTAAGACCAAAAAGCCCATAGGGGAGAAAAACATCAATAGACTGCATACCAGGTGTGCATTTTATACTCTCTGGCTCTTTAAAATGCAGCTGCCACTCAGCTTGTACTTTTTCAAGCCAGTCTACCTTGCAGGGCTGCTGTGGAGACCTAAAATTTCATCAATCATGCGTGTCAGCCTGTCTTTGAGTTTCTTAGTGGCAGGGAAGAATCCAGTTGTGAGAAAGAAATTGTTAATTGTGTCAGAAGTTGAGAGAAGCAGCTCCTGGGCTGTTCGATGCCATTAATCTTCACAGACATCTGTGTGGTCTTTGATAGTACATTCGAACCTCTGCAGATAGTATTTCAGAAGACAGCTCAGTCTGTCTTGCTCATTAAAGAGCCAGTAGAATTTGCAGTATAGGTTGGGGGTTAAGTCTGAAGAAGAAGAAGGAGGAGGAGGAAGAGTGTCACATGGGCTCCCAAAATGTGTGCTTGATCTGGAAGTGAATTTTTTTCAGTCACAATGAAACCAGAATCTTATCCTGCTCTCTCTCTCTCTTTCTCTCCCCCCCTCCCCCTTTGTAGGTCCCTAAAGAAATCTGGAGAGCTGTGGTTGGATGCCTACCTCCATAAATGAAGCTGGATTTCAGAGAGGGGGGAAAAGGTGTTAGCCAGGGGGAGGGCTGGTGGGGGTGGGGGCTCGCGTGTGTTCTTATTGTCCAATTCCAGTCTGTATCTGTGTACACAGTCTGAAGGGAGTTTCCTGTCTTGTGACATTGATGCTGGGGTGGGATCAGGGGGACCGATTTGAAACCTGAGAGACTTTCATATATGTCGGGTACTGTCTGTAGAGAATGAATTTTGAAACAATGATCTTAACGCATGATGGCAAAAAAAAATTGGCTCAGTAGGTTGAGATGTTTTGAGGAAGGCAGTCTGAGAGATGAAAGAACAAGTAAGCAGAGATAGCTTCTTAGTGTCTCTTCCCAAGATGTATCACTAGTCCCATCTCAGGCACTTGGCTTACATGCACAGATATTTGTTTTGTTTTGTTTTTAGAAAGAACAACAATATGGTCTAGCTTCTGCATCTCTTTGAACTGCACACGGTACAACAAAACATCTTCTTATAAAGAATTAACCCCAAATCAACATAGATCCTCTTCTCCTCAGTAATGCTGGCATAAAGGTAGAGGAGAAGGCAAGATAAATTTAGCATCTAATACTTAAAAATCACAAAACAAGGATTTTTATAAGCCTTACCGAGTTGGCTTAGAAGCTCTTTTGAGACAACACATACCAGAAACAAAAGTTTTGAATAGAGGCCCAAAACAATTCTTGCTGCCTATTCTTAGTTTTCTGTCCTCCAAAAGAAGAATTCAAAGGCTTGTTTGTCATCCTCGAATATTTGTCTACTGCGCTCAGAGTCCATGCGGATCTCTACATCTGTGTTTTCCATCTGACCTACCCCTCTCCAATTGCCACACTGCTTGAACAAAACTGCATGTAATTTGCATTGAACTTTCTGTGGGTCAGTTTCCATTCTCTACAGAAGGGCTGCACAAATCTATACTGTGCCTGTTCATCCTAGATCCGCCAGCCGGATCCAGCTAGAGGCTGTATGTACCTGAAACAGGCTTCCCTAACTAGATAGGGAATCTTGTAGCTAAATGCCTGCTGATTCACCATGTATTGGTGCATGTACAGCTTCAGTTAGAAATTGGATTTCAGGATGGGTTACAGCAGGCTGTACTTAGAATGTAACCTGTTTTCTCTGCCTGAACAATTTATTGGTGCTATTCAGAATCTTTAGCCAGAGCTGTGCTGCCTGATTTTGGATTTAGACCCCACTAAGTTGGGGGCTCACAACATTGTTTTGTCTGTAGCACTAGCCTTTACAAGGGTTTGGACATACAACCGAAAGTCACTTCTGCCACAGAGGACCTAACATTAAAGCTGAAAGAGTAGATCCAGGATCTGCCTTCCACTGGCAGAAGGGTTCCGTTCATAGAAGGTGCTGCCACACAGTTTTCAAGATTCCCCTTGAAAATGACAGCTTAGCCCACTAGGGAGGTGCCTTGATCCTCTGTGTAGCATTTGCTGTGGAGGGACAAGAAAGACCCCTTCTGTCAGCCTAGTTGCATAGGCCTAAATCTGAATCCAACCTCAAGATTTCCAAGTCTATTAACAAGGAATAAGATGTTTGGTAACACTTCTAGAACTTCACCACATCAAATTAAGATCAACCTCCACAGGTGATTGTATTTTCCTTCTCTTTTTAAATCTTGACTAGCTTGCAATCTGTATTAGGGTAGATTAAGGCTCACATCATTAGGAAGGCTGCCTCATCCTATCTATGCAAAATTCTTTAGAAGCACTCACGAACATTTTCCTCCAAAGGTAACACTGCATTCATTGCATTTGCCTGACAGTGAGTACCACCAAGTGTTTTCTTAAAACATAACAGCACCTCTTCCCATCTTTGCTCCAAAGTTCATAATGTATACTTGCTGAGAACAATCTCGTTGGGTTTATTCTTGATGTGAAATTCTCCAACCTTTTAAGACATTCTTTCATCATCTGTTTTCTTTGACAGAATATTGGCAACTCAGACTGCCATGTAAGATGCTTGGGACCAAGATTGTCCCAACCATGGAAAAGTTAGTGTGGTTGTATCAGACTATATAGAACCTCCATCTGGTTGGCGTTGTATTGCCTACAACGGTCAATACACAGACTTCATGGGGGAAGAGATACATAGACACTCCCAATCCACAGGCAAAATGCAGAATCAGCTATGATCACAAAGGTCAAAACCTTGCTCTTGCAAGTTCTAATACAGAGACTTTTTTCTTTGTTTCCTTCTTCCACTACTTTCCATGTGAACTCTTTTACCCTCCAGATATTTTGGTGGACAGCTGGATTATTTTCTTTGTGAACCAGTGGTCATTTTGGCTGGTGGATTCTGAGAACTGTAGTCCAAAAATGTAACTTTTCCGAACATTGGTCCCCTCAACCCAGCTGTGTGTTATATGAAAAAGGATCTCCTCAGGACAGTTCTCAATCCAGGAAGACCAAGTGGTTTATAATGAAGTATCTTTCCACCTCATTGGATAGGTTCTTCCCATCCATTCAACTCTAAATGAAAGATCGGATCCAAAGTGGGCAGCTTTTGATGCTGTATTTCTGGACAGTATATGGGAATGGATAGTGCATCTTGGGCTTAGCGCATCTTACCCTTTCTAAGAGCTCTGCCCTTCCTAGGACATAATGTTAAAGGACAAGCATGTTGTCTAAGACAGTGGTCCCCAACCTTGGGCTTCCAGATGGTCTTGGACTACAACTCCCAGAAGCCTTCACCACCACCTCTGCTGGCCAGGATTTCTGGGAGTTGGAAGTCCAAGAACATCTGGAGGCCCAAGGTTTGGGGACCACTGGCTAAGAGATCAAATATAGGACTGGGAGCAATTGATTAGGGTGGCAGAAATCCACAGCTGTCATAGAAGCTGCCAGTTGTCAGTGATGGGTCACTGGAAAGTAAACATTGACTTAAATTTGCAAGTCTGGTCACTAAGGAAGCAATCAAATCTATCTCTTGAGAAAATCCTCATTATGGCACAAAAGCTAGGTTAATTTTGGAGACCACATCTAATTTGGCCCCTAGGTTCAAATCCCTGTTCTTCTTAGAACCTCACTAGCTAGTCAACATTTCTCAACCTAACTTGGTAAGATTTTGTTGAAATGGGGAAGGTGGGGGTGGGGAATAAACCTGGTTATATTATCCTTTGGAAGAAGGGTGGGATGTAAATATTAAGAAACTCATGACTGAAAGCAGACCTCCAGGAATTCTGTGAATGCTTTCAGAGTTCATTTCATGAGCAAGCCCTTGGAGCTGTCATGTGTGTGAAGTAGGTATGTCTTTTGAAAGGTTTCTAGGACTTCCGCCACCATTCATGGGTCTCATGTTTCCATCTTAATCTTCCAATATAATAAAAAAAAGAAGCACACTGTACAATCATTTGCACTGCTAATGATCAAATTTGAACCCAATGAACTATGGATGGAAAGGCATTTTTTTCTGCCCACATCCAGAAAAAAATTGAATTAGTTTTTCATTATGAGATCAAATTAAGGAATTAAATTGCAACTGGATATCTTCCCAGTACCCACTTAGTGCCTCTTGACTATTAGGTAGGTAATGCAAGTCTACTACTATGTCTGTGTTTGGCACCACAATGGTAGCTTTAAACCATACTTTCTGTGGTAGATTTGGGAGCCTCTAATTCCAGAATTAACGGGAATGTTCTTTGTTTTGTAACCTTTTGAAATATAATGCAGGAAGCATGTAATAATAATGTTGTGGGTAACACCTTGCAATATTGCCTTAATCAATCTGGGCTTGACCTAGCCAGAGTTAAACATGTTAAAGTCCCATTAATTTAAAGGTAAGAGACTCTCACATTAATTTGGTATGTGTGTGTGTGTTTAGTCGTTTAGTCGTGTCCGACTCTTCGTGACCCCATGGACCAGAGCACGCCAGGCCCTCCTGTCTTCTACTGCCTCCCGGAGTTGTGTCAGGTTCATGTTGGTTGCTTCGCAGACACTGTCCAGCCATCTCATCCTCGGTCGTCCCCTTCTCCTCTTGCCATCACACTTTCCCAACATCAGGGTCTTTTCCAGGGAGTCTTTTCTTCTCATTAGATGGCCAAAGTACTGGAGCCTCAGCTTTGGTATAGAAACATGTAAGTGTTTAAGTCTGGCTGAGTCATGCTATCTTTTGGGATCTGTGAATGTATTTTATTTTCTCTGCTCCCGCAGAAGTGAGCGCACACATATGTGCACCTTTGCATGTGCACGCAATGTACTGTAGCATCTCTTGGTTCAGTCTTCCAAGAAGGCAGCTCAACCCAACTTTGGTTCCAAAAGAAATTCTGTTTATCCTAATGCAAATCAGTTTTCTATTGAGTTTTGCTCCCCCCGGGATATCTAATGTACAGTACTTGTCTACCACTCTGCACCAATGTTTTGTATTTCTTTAGCACAGAGGAGCTCCAGAAGGCTGGGGATTCAATCTTTTCAAATCAATAGCCTTATTCTCATAAGCTTAGAAGAAAAGTTAGTGTATTGTTACAATTAAAAAATGCCAGTAATCAATAACCTTTGCAGTAATAGTCTTTGCACTCCCAGTGTCTTTGGGAAATGGCAGCTGCATTTTCTGATGGTTAAGTAAGCATTACTTAGAACACTTCCCAAGCCTGGCAACCTCTATTGCCCATGCTGGTAGGGGAGGATGGGAGTTGTAGTCCAACTTATCTGGGAAGCACTAGGCTGGCAAAATCTGATTTAGAACAAAGAACCATGTTGCTAGTACAATCCACAGAAGTAGGGGCCAGTATGCAGTTGTAGAGAGCAATGGAGTGAATGTATTATAGATCCTAGAGATCAATATAGGTACAGGAGAGGGCTTCACAGATTCTCTTCTTTCTTTGACTAAGATGGCTGTTTTTTTATTGAAACCATTCTTGATCATGAAAAAAAAAATCTCCACAAAAGAATCGACTAATTAAAATAAATCCTAGTGTTTTTATTTGGGAGGTATTCTGAGTGTTCTGTTTCATTTCTGCTGCTGGACAACAATTATTTCTCTTCAGCGGGGAAATCAAGCACCAACTCTGTAGTAATACACATGGTGTTACTAGGTAAATTCAAACCTAGTCATGCCAGTTCCAAATACTGAGAGTCCTGTGTTCATTATTTTGTAGGCTTTGCCTCTCAAGCAACTCTCAGTTCAGTTTTATTCCAAAGTTGATCTATTTCTGTTTTGTTTGGGTTACTCTTGCAAAGTGTTTGAATAATGTGTTGTCAGCTGTTCACTGTGGAAACTAAATGGGGGAATTTATACATTTCAGATTTTTCCGATGTCTTAAAGAAAGATGTGCTCCAAATGAAATCTAGCAAGCTGAGAGTGTCTCCGTATTGTGTATAATGTTAGAATTGACTGGCGTCCTTTGCTGGGCAAGGAAACCAATATTCAGAAGCATTAACAATTCCATGTCCAAATGTGTCTTTCTGGCAAACTTGATTAGAAAGCTTGCCAATACATTTAGGCTAATACATATAGGTTTAAGGTTTTATCCAAGTGGCGGTAAAAGTGATTCATTCAGCAGTGGGTCATTTTGGGGTTGATTTTCCCCACGGGTCAGATGATAGAAGCCTCTGTTTGAGAAGATTCTTGCCTTTCCCTCTTGTGTTCTGTACTCTCTCTCTCTCTCTCTCTCTCTCTCTCTCTCTCTCTCTCTCTCTCTGTTTGTGTGTGTGTGTGTGTGTGTGTGTGTGTGTGTGTGTGTGGTCCTCGGAGAGTGCTGTTGCTTTGTTCCAAGAATTTTTCTGAAGGGCTTAGTAAGCATTTCCTATGACAAGGCTCATTTCTGTGTTAGGAACTTGGGGCCAGAAACTTTTAATTAGCTCCACAATTAGCTTTTTTAAAATAGCTAACAAAAATAACAATGAAAAGAAACTACAGAGGCAAAGTTATAGGGAGGAAGTGGATTTGCAAAGCTTTCTGTCCTGAGCAGCCTAGTGAAGCGATTTCCAAAGATGCGATGTTTGGACTAAAGTGTAGGCACAAATAATTTCCTGTGGGCCCTTTACTGCCTTTCCCTGCCTTAAGAGTGTTCTGATGCCTTCTGCAAAAATATATTTGAAACAGCTTCTGACTTTGCATATTCTTTGTTCAGGTCTCTCCCCAAAAAACTCCTATCTGAGCCTATTTAGAATGGCACTGGGGAGCATGCTTTTTTGTGTGAATATTTTACATGACCGTTGTCTCGTTGCAATTGAACTCCTCCCTCCAATCAATTTTGAATGGAAAGGAGAATTATTAGTTCCTTTTAAAGAAGAATAATTATTTGTAGGGTAAAGAATGGAATAATTGTTTTTCACAGTTCAGTCATTGTGTTAGGCAGGGGAATCCTCTGAGTGATGCCTAATTAGCAAAAGCAGAACCCATAACCAGGGCTAATCAAGCAAGCTCTGACGCAGGGTGCCAGCATTTGGTGTTGGAACAGTATAAGCCCTCCTGCTGGTACAGTATTTGTAGCTGGAAAGCCATGAGCCCACCTGCCTCAGGCACTTATCCTACATGCAGCGGTTCTTGCCAGGACAAAAGGAAACCAAACAGGAGGGGCTCAGCGTGGACCCAATATTGCCATTACAAGCTCATTCCTTCCTATTCCTCCATTATTTTTCCACTTCAGATTACCCAAGCTGAACCGACAGCTACCAAAGCTGCTAATTATGCCTCTGAGCAAAAGAGACATATTCTGGGAACTGTTGAACTGTTGCTTCTGTAGCCACTGATGGGTTCAGACATTAACTGGAAGTAGACTTTCTACATAGAATCCCTGGGAAACCGGGTCAAAGAATGTGTGGAGGAAAGCCAGCGATGAAATATGTCGGTGTGTGTGTGGGGGGAAGCATGTGAGAGGGTATGAGTGCTGGAGGTGCAATGTGAGGAAAAAGTAAATAGGAAAAGAAAAATATGTACAGGCCCAGGAGAGAAACCAGGCTGCTTCATATTTTTGCCTTGCAAGAATAGTAAAATAATGGCTGAAAACCTGTTACGCGTAGTAAGTCATACTGTACTAGAACAGATACCTTGAAACAGTGGTGAGTCAGCTCCTCCTTCAAGTGGGCCAACTCTAATTGTGATTTACTATATAAAAGTAAGTTGCAAGGAGAGTACTGTAGATCCATTTGAATCAGTGGAAACTAGAGGTGTTGATTCCTCAAATCCCTGCTGATTAATGGCCTACTCTAATGCATCTTACAATGCTAAACAACAGGATTTCATGGATTATGAATAATGTTGCCCAGCCATGCCACCGAGAGAAAATGTTCACACAAACCCTATTTTTATGTCTTTTACCTAGAGCCAGAGACTCTCTTGTGCAGGAGCCAGTGGCATATTTCTGAGCAGATGATCAGGTCTGCTGACCCATATATGATCCCTCATTCCCTAAACAAATAATGTCAGGGCTTCATAGTTTACTTTATGATGTTCTTGCTGAATAAACTGCCTTTCTGAAAGCCAGTTAAAATGTTCCTAGGCAGTGTGCAGTGCAGTCTTCCTAAGATAATACCAGATGGGACTGCTGGTATGTGTCTGCGTGATTCTCCATGTCAAAATTGTAATGCCTGGAAGACTAACACATCAGAAAGACAGCTTTATAGCAGTTGTTTTCCCCCTCTTAATCATTCTGTCAGAGCATACAATAAAATAACTTTTATTTCTTTATATATTTATTTTGATTGCTTAAATTCCTAGATCTATTGCACATGACTCAAAATGTGATG